CTCTGACTAGTAAACTTTTACATGTTTTTAAAGAAAACAAATGTGTGGGAAAAAATGTTGTTTGTTTTTTGCCAAACCAAAGTATTAATCTGCCCTGGTAGGGAAGTTTCTTGGCCATGCCACTGACTGCACTTTCCAAAGTGTCATCTGTATTTTTCAGTCCTTCCATGTATAAAGAATCCAACAGCAGTTTCCTTCAAGGTTGAGTAAATTTGAATGTTTAGGGGGCTGTAGCCACAAGATTTGGCAAACCATTCACTTGTCATGTTAATAAAAAAGGAATTGTTTCTGCCTCTTTAAGCTAGTAGCTAAATGAAGGGCTTGAATCAGCTGGATTTTAATCATGAAGTCCAGATTCTTCTTCCTTGCAAGTGAATAACTTTGTGGTGTTCAGAGTTTTCATCCGATTTAATTTTATTTAGAAGAAGAACCGAGCTTCTTCCCTGTTACCAACCCCTGAATTTGCTCACTTGTTATGCTGTTCAAACCTAATCGGTTTTCTTGATCTTAAAATGAAAATCGAGCCTTTCTGCACCTTTTATTTCCCATAAGCAATTGAATTGAAAAGTGGGGTGGTTTGGGTATTTATTTTTTTTTTTTTCAACTCCTTAAGTTGTGTTTTATAGATGGCATGTTAGCTTTGAGGGCTGTTTCATGACTGGTAAAAGCTTATACCTTGTAAAATCCATAGCTCTTAATGCATTTTGTTTCTCACTTCAAACACAGTACTGGAAGAAGAAATACTAGAACATTTCATGGTCGTGCTGTTTCAACAATTCACATTCTTTTTACATGGTGATGCTGATTTTGTAGCTCCAAATGCTTGGGCTTAAAATTTGATTTCCTAAATTCCTTAGTCTGAAAATGTTGAAACTTAGAACAAGCTGTAATACACCCTGAAGAACTGTCTTGCTTACATGATTACTTTTCCTCTACCATGGAGATTATAAGAAACTAGATCAGATAAATGATTATATTATCTGTGGAATGCAAAAACACTGGGTAGATCACATTTATTCCTGAAAACAGCTTTCCTCACTCTTTTTCTCATGATCTGTGTTAATGTTTAGGAAGTATCACCCTTGACCAACAAGCCCTGATTGATGTTGGGTTGCAATGTGGAAATGTGGTGTAAGCCACCATAAATATCAGTGTATTTTAGCAGAATATCTCCTTGTTATGAATTATCCTCATTCTCTGAAGAAAGAACTTTTCTCCTTGCCTTCATCTCTTGGGGCGATGGGGAAATTGAGACACTCATGAGAGGCCAAGGTGCGTTTTCCTTCAGGAGTAAAGAAAGTAAAAAAGTGAAATAATCAGATCTCTGGTTCCTAAAAGTCAGTTTAGTTCACATGGGGTGACTTTGGTCACAAATAGATCTTAGGTAGCCACAAATTTATTGATTAGGTGAAGAAATTGTTCCCTGTGAGGGTGAGGAGGCCCTGGCACAGGGTGCCCAGAGCAGCTGGGGCTGCCCCTGCATCCCTGGAAGTGTCCAAGGCCAGGCTGGACAGGGCTTGGAGCAGCCTGGGACAGGGGAAGGTGTCCCTGCCATGGCAGGGGTGGAACAAGGTGGTTTTCCAAGGTCCTTTCAAGTTCCATCAAGATTCCCATCAGATTTTCAGTGCAAGCCTGCAGGACAAGCCCAGAGCTGGATGGTGCTTTGCCTGCCAAGTTGTTCCATGGAAATCAGGAGGAATATTGAAATAGGAAGGGCTGAAAATGAGCAAATGTAGTGGAGAGTGAATACAGCAAAAATGACCTGTGTGGGACTCATTCAGTGAGCCAAGCAGAGCTGCCTCGTGCCTGACAGGTCTGAATTTGACACAATCCTTTGTAAACAATAAATCAATGCAGGTTGTTCCTGTGAGTGCATAAAAGGTGTGAGAACTGTAATTTATTTTATAATAAATACTTGTACTGAGCAAACAGTGAATGCAGCTATTAGAGACTTTCTCAAATAAGTGATTTTAGGCTGCTGAGTGCCAGCTACTGATGTGGTAGTTGAGCTTTTAAAATGAAAAGCCTGAATTCCTTTTGAAGATTCCCCTGAATGCTGTTGACACTTGTGCTAGGAAAGAATACTGAGTGATTTAATTCATTACTTTACTTAAAGATAACATTTATGGTTGCAGCATTACCCTCCATCGATGTGCAGACTGCTAGGCTGGAGGTGTTTATTTGAATTTTTTGGAAGATGTTGCATCCTTTTATTAGGTGTGCTGGAAGAGAAAAAAATGTAGGAGGGAAAGGGGAGTTCAGGATCAGTCAGCTGGTGTGTCTGGATACAAGGACAAAGGGACAATTTTGCCTTTGGCTACAGTTTGACACTTTACTGGATTCAGTCAGAATTATCTGCGCACGCTGAAGGGCACAAATGTCATTTTTATGGCATTCTATATCCTCAGTTGCTTTTTTTTTGTAATTGGCTGTGTATCTCAGTGCTGTAATAGAGCTCTTAAATCCTGACCCTGGCCAAAATGGGACACAAATACCAGTATTAATATTTCTCTCCCTTTTAAATGCAGGGTTGAGCCTTTTTACCTTGTTTTTCCAGCACCATCTTGTGTTTCCCTGGAAGCCACCCACCTTTCCTCTGGCTTGGGGTGCTCCTCTGCCTTACTGCTCTTGGTCCCCTCTCCCCTTGGTCCATTGGCCTCGGATATCCCTCTGTTCCTTCCCTTGCTCCTCTGTCCTCTTCCATTTCCCAACCTCTGGCTCCCCTTATCTTGCCACTTTCAAAGTGGCTGAAGGTCCTTGGATGGGTCCAGACTCCCTCACACTTCCACCCCTTCCCACTCATCTTTCCTCCATCAGAGTCATCTTTCTTTCTGCCAGAAAAATAAAGAGTTTCCCTGGCTGAGCTGAAGCCCCACCTTCTGCTCCCAAAGCCAGGCACTCTTCCTCTCCCAATCCCAGGGGTTTTTGTTTCTGAGTCTCTCACTCCTCTCAGGTGCTGTGTTGTTCCAGACCTTTGGCTGATACCTGGCACCCCCTGGTTGGGTGGAAATGCGGGGATTTTATTGTTCTCCCATCCAGAGAAGGAGAGGAAGCTGGATTTGCTTCAGCTGAGGCTGGCTGGGACATTCCCAGTGTGTGACATAACCCAGACATCATTTACTGGCTCCATAGAACCTGAGGCATTCACACATAAATTGAGCCCGAATGCAGAAGCTTATATAAAGAGGATCCTTAAACTATCCTGTCTAAAAATATTTGTGAAGTGCTGGGAAGCATCTTTTTAGTGTGCTGGGATGTTCTCTTCCCACTTATCTCTGTTACAGATAATACAGTTGGGTCACTTGCATGGGCTTTGGGACATCTTTTTCATGTGAAATGCTGTCATTTCCATAAATTGGTTAATAAGCTTTTTGGGCCTGGAGTCTAAAACAAAATATGTTTCACAACTGCAGAGGCTAAAGAGGTGGAAAGTGTTATTGCAGGCTGATGTTAATGTGCCCAGGTCAGTCTTGTGGCTGCTCCCTTGAATCCTTTTTTGCCCAGGCAGTGGTTGTTCAGTTCAGTAAGTAATGACAATTATTTATTATTAATTCAAAACATGGTGTGCAGGATTTCTGCCCAGTGTAAGAGCACATTAGCTTCTCCTGCACAAGAAAACACATGTTAATCTGTTTTCCATTATTGTCCAAAAGATTTTTTTTCAGAATGCAGTTCATATTGCCCCAACAACATTAAAGGCTGTAATTAAAAATAATTTTCCATTAATTTATATACATGCACATTTACTTATTATGATCTTTTGCTGCATTTCCTTAAGTGTAGACCCAAAAGCCTAAAATGCTGTTGAGGAATAAATCAATATTCACTGTAATGATCCAGTGTGGAGTGTGCCAGAACCCTGATGTACTTCAATTAACCATCTTTCCTAACAAACACCTGCACAGGGAAATCTTCTGTGGGAATCAGCAGAAAATCAAACCCTGACTTTTCTTCATGGGCAGAGGAAGGGAATTCCAGTATTTCACAGCTTTTACTGATAATGATCTGCTACAGATTAAAAACAAAAACCAGACATTATGGTGTTGGCAGATTGCAAAAGGACTTGCTGGTAAAGCTGCTGTTCAGAGGAGATGAGGACAGTGTTTATTGCTTCCATATGGTCCAGGCATACAAGACAGGGAAAATGTCTGGGGAGAATAATATGTCTTATTTTATTGATACAGAACATTCTTTAGGGCTGTCAGCCCTTTTTTCCTGGTACCTTTCCCAGGTGAGAGCCTGAGTGGGAAATATTTGCCCATGATTGAGCATGAAGATAAGAAAACATTGCTTATGGATTGGCTCCATTTGTGTGAGTGAAGTATTAGAAATGCTGATTTTTAAGGGGTCAGGTCTGGGAGCTGCTCCCTAACAGGGGGATCTGAAGGATCTCTTTTTTTTCCTTGACTATTTGTATAGTTTTCAACCCTTTGACTTTCCAATTCAGCTTTGCAAAGTGCATTAGGAGTCTAAATTTAGAGTTTGATAAATTCTTGTCAAAAAAGCCCTCCTTTTCACGTAATGTAAAATTTAATTTCTTGGTCTCTTTGACCTCTTGATATTTTTTTTTAAGCCACATTAAGAACCAAACTTGTGGGCACACTGAAGCAGAAGAGTAGCTGGGTGCTTTTGTATATGTGGGGAGTTGACTGAAGACCTGCAGTCTTTGACTTCTCCATAATTATCACTTGGGAAGCACCTAGAAAGATGACACTGCCTGGAATTTTGGGGAGTAAGACCTTCAAATATCCAATGAATATGCTCAGCTATCACTTTGCCTATTGCATTGCAAAAAAAAGGCAGCAAGCAAAGGAATTGGAGATTTGCAGAAAACTCCAGAGGATCTCACCAGTTGGGAGATGAGCTGCTCAGTCCTACTGTGTCCTTTTACAAATAAATATTGACAATTGGTGGTGTTTGTGTGCCTGTTGCTGTGCCTGAGCTAGTGCAGCAGCTCTTCTCTGTGTGATAACAAAACTTCTGCTCTCTTGTTCTCCCAGGGCTGATGAAATCGAGATGATCATGACAGACCTTGAAAGAGCGAATCAGGTAGGATTTTAAATGAGTTCCCCATAAAATTCTAAGTGTGACTTTGATTATTCTTTTTTAATTCTCTTTTGGATTTCATGACAGTTCTTTTATATGCACTTTGCAGTCATAACTGCATGGAGTAAGAAAATATGCAAATTTCGAGCAAAATACAGCTCTTTAGGGATGCTCTGTAAGGATTGTGGGCACAGTAGAGCAGTGCTTGCCATATATTTACCTTCTAATAATTTAAACTTACATTTCCCACTGTAGTTATTCTTGGCTCTGTGTTTCTAAATCTGTCATGTTGGCCCCTGCTCAGACATGCAGGTAAATGGTTTGCCCAAATTAAAGGGCCTCTGCCCTGTGGCTGTGGCAGGGCTGCGGGTTTTGGGGACTTCTCCAGACTTTTTTTCCCCCCTTCCTTTTCTGCTGTGTTTTATTGGCATATTAATTTTTAGCAAGGGTTCAGACTGTTCTTTCTGTGCAGGACCACAGAGAAATTGCCATTTGTTCCTGCAGATGTTAATTTGGGCTGCGAAATGTCTCTCTGGCCATCCCTCACAGTGCACACACTCCTGACACGAGTGCCAGAAATACTGAGTTTTAACAAACCCAAACCCAATGGCCACACAGGGAACTCTGAGTGAGAGGAGATGTGTATGGCCAGGCAGGATTCCATGACAAAGGAAATTCCACAAGCCACTGGGTGGTGGCTTCACAGAAGGAAACCTCAGCCAGGCATTTGCTTATCAGTGAGTTTCATTAATCCCTCTGCCAGGTACAACCAGAGATTGCAATCTTGAATCTCCCAGGCTATGGATTTATAATCCAGCTGAAGTTTAGATTGAGAGCAGCTCCTTTCCAGGAGGAATGGTGGCAGCTCCTTCCCCTCCCTGGGTCCTGCTGTCAGCAGTGGTTGTGTGAGCCAGACCAGGTCACTGATCCTGTTGAAAATGTACCCCCTGCTCCAGCTGCTGTTTTGTTTTGTCTTTTTCCCTTTTGCCAGATCAGCTTTCAGCCCCCACACTCCCCTGCTGCAGCTGCCAAGTTACAGCAGGTGCTGTCAGCCTTTACATTAGTTCTTGGAAAACTGGAAAAATACAAATCACAGAATCATTTCCACTGGAAAAGCCCTCCAAGATGATCTGTCCAACCATCACCCAGCACTGCCCAGGCCACCACTCACACATGTCCCCAAAAGGACATGGGTGAAATCTGAAATCCCCAAAGGGATGGCGACTCCACCCCTGCCCTGGGCAGCTGTGCCAAGGCTGGACAACCCTTCAAATGAAGAGATTTTCCCTGATATCCAACCTAAACCTCCCTTGGAGCAGCCTGAGGCTGTTTCCTCATGTCCTGTCACTTTTACCTGGGAGCAGAGCCCAACCCTCACCTAAAGCCTCCTTCCAGGGATTTGTAAAGAGAAATTCCCTCCTGGAGCCTCCTTTTCCCCAGGCTGAGCCCTCCCAGCTCCCTGAGCCACTCCTGGTGCCCCAGACCCTTCCCCAGCTCCATTCCCTTCTCTGGACACACCTCCAGCATCTTAATGTCTTAATGAAGCCAAAATCAGATTTGTAAGTTGTTGAGTTGATTATTTAGTCAGTAAAAGCAAACTGGTGTTTGCACAGTGGGTTTTTAGCTCTGTCAAAGAACTTTTGTAGACAGCATTAAATATTTATGAAAGTGCTAGTAATTATTTGAAAATATGTAGACTTTTTAGAAATTATGTAGGTGTTAAAAATGTTTTGGTAGAATTATTTTGTGATTTTTGCAAAGGCAGTACATTTTGCAATGATTTACCCAGTAGTTGGTTTTTTCCCCTCAGTCTAAAGGGGGCTGTAGTTAAGGAACAGGTATTTCTGAATTCCTCACTGCCTCCTAAAATGGATTATACCTATTTATCCAGAAATGCTGTTTTTCTGTCTAACTGGTACAAAGCTGCAATGTGGGTTGGGTTGTTTTTTTTACTTTGTTGTGGTGCTTTTCTTGTAATTAGGTAAAATTTATAACTGCTTATGTGCATAACCCTTAGTTTGGTTGTAATTCTGCAAAATTTGACTGTACATAAAACCAGAGTGCCGTTCCTCTGAGCTGCTGGAAAACCAGAGGAGGGGATCCTGTCTCCCCTTTCTCCATCTCCCTCTCCTCCTTTCCCCCTCTGACTGCTGTGGTCCCATCCCCTCCCAAAGAGCAGCTGGATAAAGCAGCCCTGGGAGCTTCTCCATGGTCTCCACTGGAATTGTTCCAGCAGCTCCGTGTCTTTCTTGTGCTGGAGCCCCACGAGGGACACACAGGGACTCTGTGGCCCTAAAAGAGCTGGAGAAGGGAAGGGCAGATTCACCTGGAGAGGAGCAGGAGCTGCTGCAGTGGCTCAGCTCATTTGCTGAAGCATGCCCATAGAGCCTTTGCCTTTATAAAACACTTAGATGAATTATATCTAATCTTTGCAGCAGCAATTCCTGTGTTTTACCTTTTCATACTTGGAAAAAAAAATACTAGAAGAAATTAAATCTATTGCACAGGCCAGAAAGTGAGTTTGCATCAGGCTGAAGTGTTACAATTGCAGAAACAAGTACTTAACCTAATTATGTATTTAATAGTTAAATTAACATTTCCTTTTACCATTTCAGTAAGTGCTCATTCCCCATTATTAAGGCTACCTTTAAAGAGTAGTGCTCAGCACGACTTCCTCTTTGCTCAGGGACTGCCTTGCTGATGTGGATGTGATGTTTTGCTGCTCTGGAATTAGCACTGACCCAAATGACTGGGATTCAGAGTACAGATTTACATGTTTCCAGTAAAAATATGAGAAATATGACATTTCTTGAAAGCATCTTTCCCGATTACGGCCCTTTTTAAATTCAGAGCTGGCACTTCAGAACTTCCCTTGCTGTTGTGAGGACTCCTCTGTAGCTCCTGAGAGGTGGGGAGTGCCTTTTCCTCTCCAGTTCTGCAGGGACCTGACCTTGGTCCAGGTGTCCATAAAAATGGTCAAACCCACAGGGACAGAGGTGATGCTGTGGCTCCCAGCCCCGAGTCCTGATGGGTGAAGCAGGGACCATTCTTACCTTCAGCTCCATCACCTCTCTTCTCCCAGTGTTTTTTCTCACCTGGATCCTTAAGCTTTTTCATGCAGGAGCTTTCTGGGCTACTTTGCTGTGATACCAACCCCAGAACAAATTACTGGCTCATCAGAATAATTGCCTTTAAATGCCAGTGAGCTTTGCAATTTTCTGCTCAGAGAGAGGGAGGGGTAATGACCACAAAGCTCCCTCCCTCTCCATTGTGTCATTAACACAAGGTGTAAGCTGAATTTTCCCACAAAATATAATAGTGGGAGAAATGATTCCCTGGCTGGGACAGAGGTGGGTGCTGGAGATGAAGGCTGGTGACAGCCCCTTCTTCCTCAGCTGCTCAGGACCATTAATCCACGATCCTGAGTGGGATTTTGTGGCAGGGCAGGTCCGTTCTGACTGGCAGAGATCAGAGTACACCAAGTTACAGCTTCTGTGAGGGTGCCATGGGTGTAACCCTTCCCTTTGAAAGTCCCAAGAGGTTTTTTTTTATATAAAAAAGGGCAAGAATAGTGCATTGAACTGTCTGGTGCAGCTGCAGCTGCCTCGAGAGGAGCTGTCAGCTCCTGCCATGGAGCTTTAGGAGGGGTAAAAGTTCTGAAGCCAAAACCCCGTCTGGTTTGGTGGTAAAAGATGCAATTCCATCATTTCCCAGGCAGCAGGAGAGCCGTGGCTGCAGAATCCCTGCCCATCCTCTCCTCATCCCCCAGCTGTGGCTCTGTGCAGGAGCTGGGGCACAACAGAGCCAAGTACAATAGCAAGGGCTCCTTTTCACTTTTATTAACCCAGCAGCTCAATGACAAAACTTGATAACATAACCCACCAGTTCCCCCTGCATTTCCATGAAGATTTAATAATGCTGTAGTTTGGTGAAGGGACTCGTTTTATTAAGATTTCATTTTGCACAATAAATCACTGCATATATTCTGATATGCTACGAAGTATAAGAATAAATAATTAAAACTAAAATACCCGTACTTGTCAAAATAAATGATTTATCATAGTTTGGGATACAGCATCTTTGAATTTTTTATTGTTGGATTCCCAGAATATTCTAATTTCCAATCAGAGAAGTTAATGAAGCTCCAGTATATATATTTCTGCATTCACAGCAGTTACACTTGTGTGACTGTTTATTTTAGACAAATATTTATGGTTAGCACTTTCCTGTACCTTTTCAAGTTTACACCTTTCCAGTGTTTATGGCAGCAAAGTCACGAATCTTTTGGGATGACAAATTTATTCAAACAAATTATTGTTCTATTTCTGTACTTCATCCAGGAACAACCCAGTTGTGCCTGAGAAAAAGAGGTTTTTGTTGGAAAGAATAATTCCTAGGTTGTGAAAACAGAAATATTTAAATGTATTTTAATTTTTAAGTTTATTAAAAATATTTAATTTTTTCAAATTACAGCAGAGCTCATCTTAAGGTTTTAATACTGAGTCTAAATTTGTGGCTTTGTGTCATTGATGTGTCCAGATCTCTTTTCTGCCTTTATACATTGATCACCTGGTTAAAAAAAAAATTAAAAATCTAATGGGATTTGTATCTTGAGCTTCCTGTAATGAAAAAGCTTCTTTTTCGCTTTTAAAACAAAAAGAGAAGAACTTTGGTTCGGGTTGTTTGATGCTGGGTTATTGTATTTTTATCTGAAAGAGAAGGATCTAGATTTGAAAAGCAGACTCAGTTATAGGTATTGTTAGATTTTGACAGTGGTAAGAGAAAAAAAACATGAGACTTTTGTGTGTGTGTGGACTACTTTGTGTAAGCCATAGAAGAAGAATTAATTTATTTTTTCTTCTGTTATCCCTTTGGAAAAGCCATATGTTCCCATTAGTTTTCTTTCCATCTTGATAGTGCTCCCAGATTTCTACTTCTTATTTTTTCTGGGGAAAGAAAGTCAAATATAAAAACTACTAATACCAATAAATCAGGAAAACGGT